GCATACTTGTTAAATTACGTATATAGTGCAACTGGAGGCTGACGTGCCCCTGAAAGAATGCTTGTCTCGCTAATATGATGTGTTAGTAAACGGTGACATACTGTTGGTACAGGAGCCTCTATTGGTGAACACGTGTCTGTGTGTGGTGGATGATGAATGTGTGTGTGATCATATATTGTTTTTAATTTTGTGTGAAAACAGCTGCATGAAGATTTTGCTTGTGGTGTTGTACAGTCAGTGTGTGCGTGTGTATAACGGATAGTGGTTTGTAAAGTATGTTCCTTTTACTGATTTTACAGAGTAGTTTAGCCTCAGTCTTGAGGGATTTACTCTAGACGTACACACAATCACACAGTATCAGCCCCAAACCTCGTTTTGTGGTACATTGGTTCTGACAAGCATCATGTGTGTCTCCTGTCCTCACAGGAACTTCTTTCCCTTCTTATTTCATCTTCCATGATCAGCTAGAGGTTTGATATGGTTCAGAGTGATAAGACACTGATTTATGCTTTATTTGTTCAGGAGTAGCAGTTAGATGTCATCCCAGATCCCACAATTCTCTGCGGTAAGCTGCCACACACTTCAACTTCAAAATCTGACTGTAAACATTATATTGTCTTCTTTATTATGACTGTGTAGGCAGAATATCTGTGAATTAATTCCCATGAAAACAATTACTAGGTGATGTAGTACCATTCACCATAAAGCTTTACATTTTAAACACAGCACAGTAGCTATAGCGGAACATTCCCCTTTAAGAATTTATTACCAGTTATTCACCGTCATGATTTATCAAACAAAAGGAGATATTTTGAGAAATGTCAAAGGTCAACAAAACTGTTACAGACATTCTTCAAATGATCTTCTTTTGTGCTCGGCAGAAGTCAGAAAGTCATACGGGTTTGGAACGACATAAGGGTGAATAAATGATGACAGAATTTTCATTTTTGGGTGGACTATCCTTTTAAGCAAGAAGGTCATACAGGTTTGGAACAAACAAGGATATTGTGACAGAACTTTTATCTTGGGGTTATTATGTTTTAACAGCTTGAGCTTTTTACATACTGATGACACTTCTATATGCGCTAGAGTAATTTCTCTCTTTTACTTTTGTGGTAAATGCCTCTCGTTTTACTCCATCCTTCCTTTGAATTACTAATCACGCTTTGGCATGTCTGGCTTCACTGTGCATAATCCTGTTGAAACAGAGATTGGAGATGTTTGTGTCTACAATATACATTTGTAGTGTCTAATCTGGATGGAATCTGTGTTGATGTTGAGTGGCAAACGGATTGATGATTTGGAAATGTGTGTCACAACACATCTCCTCTGAGGCTTCATGTTATTTCTCTGCACAGAATCAAATGCATAGGCATCGCTATGCATTGCTAAAAGCGATGACGAGATGAAAACATGAATGGAGGGCTGAGAGAGACTGGAAAAGCAGGACGGATAACAGCCAACAGCCTGTGGTTCAGGAAGTCACAGTGTGAGTCAAGTCACACACAAGTGTGTGTGTGTGAGTGTGAGTGAATAGAGCTGTAATGAATCTGCAAATGGATGTTTAAATATGTATAGAAATTATATGGTATGAATGAATGACTGAACGATCAAATATGACTGGATGGTTTGATGGACATGCGAAATGGAAAGCCAAATCCACTGTGATTAAGGTGTCACTCTCTAAAAATACACACGGATTCACATTGAGAAGCACATATGATGCCCATAAATCTGTGCAGATATAAATACCCAATACAAAAAGTGAGCATCCCTATGCCTGACTCACTCTGTAATGCAGAACAATTGAAGTTAGGGGATGTGGCAGGTAGGGTTTCAGGGCATTGCTGTCTCATATTTTGTGATGGGATTCAGTTGCTTTTGTTGAGAATGACTCTACAGTAGTGTCTCCTTCAAGAATTCAAAAATGAATGTGTGATAATCAATCAACTCAACACAGTCTAAAATTAAATTGCAACAATTATAACTACATAACCTAAAGAACAGTATGAAAGCAGTTATCATAAAACTTACCAACTGGCATTTATATGCACCATAATTTTTCCCCAAACAGGTTTAAAGCACAATGTGCACACTCACCCAGAAAAAGAAATTCGGAAAATGTACAGTATTTACAGTAGTATTTACAGTACTGAGGTATGTATAATGTGCATTATCTTTTGTTGCATGAAACATTCTGTCCTCTTTTGTCTTCTACAAGATGAACCAAATCAGCTTCAAATGAAATAAATCTAAAACCTTGTAGAATTACCAATTAAAAGAATAGTTTTGATTCTAATTGGCTTCATGTTTCTATTAGATATTTACAGTAAATCTGGAGCGGTGCTTAACCATGCAAAATTCAATGTTTAATTGCAGTGTCATTGCTATGTGGTTGCTAGGTGTTCTCTGAGGAAAAAAACACACTTTCAGGTCTCTATGGTATTCTGGTCTCTAAATATGTCTCAGATTTCTCTTCAGTGGGAGCCAAATTGCTTTTTTCATCCTATGGCTAAAAATCTGAAGTTGGAACGCTTAAAAAAAGTAAAAGTACAGTTACCAATCATGTTCGTAGCACAAAAGAACGAATCTTGTGTTGAAACGCCAATAACCTTTTTGTGGCAACCGCCCTGCATAATTACACAAATTCATTAACCTCCTTGTAACAGCTCACATCAGAAAAACACAGAAAACTACCCACATCACCGCAGTAATGCCAAACCTAATGAATGAAACAGTCCGTTGAGACTAAGGCATACCCTGTCAGGCGTAGCGTAATTCACCATTGGCTGCCAAGATGCCTGCGCTCACTGAAGTGGGAGTGTGGGAGCAGTGACTGGTGAATGAGATCTGATCAGGGTAATCATTCATATTCAACCTAACGGCACCTCTATGAAAGTGTCGCTCATTGTCTGGCCAGCCAAATCGATACCAGAGCTGACAATGGCATAAGAGATGCATGGCAAACGCCAACCTCCTATCTTTTGGTCTCGTGAATGGATTGAAGAAAGTGAAATTTAAGAATCTGTTGCCATGGAATCAATGTGTATTCTGGGGTCTAGTGTAGAAATGAACCAGACCCTACTGTATGAGGTAAGTTATCCATTACATCATAGTTCTGGATGGTCGTGACCTATGACGATCATATGATAAATGACGCGCTATCAGTAGGTGAGTCACCAAAAACCTGAGCATCAGTGGATGGCTGTTTGGATGTCTAATACCATTTCACACCCCATATCTCCTGGCTGACTGCCTTAATGTACACTGCTTGACAGTGTTTGCCTTCAAGATAAATTCAGATGACAGGCTGAAACTAATTAGTGTGTTTTTGAGAAAACTGCATTAGAGTTTTAAGTTAAGGGCACTGTGGATAAAACACTGCATACAGAAAAAAAAAGACAGATAAAACCACATGTAACTTATCCAAGCATCAAACAATACGGATAAAACCACATGTAGCTTATACAAGCATCAAACAATATGTATTTAAAAAAAAAAAAAAAGATGCAATGCTTTTTTGAGCTAAATCTGGTAGGACATTTGTGTCCAAATTACAAATGAAGAGAACGTGAGGGGCTAAACTGGAAGAGAAAACAGCATCACCCGAGTAGGCGATGTCACTTGAGGTCTCACAAGCTTCAGTGGTTCAAGCATTGGATCTACTGAAGCTTGAGATTGACCAATAGGCGCTCACGGTGCCTGCAGGATTAACTAAAAGCTCAACCGCGAGGTCATTCTCTCTTCACCATAAGCCACTATTATGGGCCGATAGCACCATACAGCAGTGGTTCTTAATCCTTGTCATGGGTACCCACAGAACTGCACATTTTGTATGTCTAATGCACCTGAAAGAAACCATCAGCTCATTAGTAGAAAGCTTTATGAACTTTATGTGTTCAGATAGGAAAGACAAATTGTGCAGTGCTGTGGTCCCCAGGAACAGGATTAAGAACCACTGCACAGGAATTCTTATCCACCTGTACATGACATTTCTTGTATTTTCAGTTTTTGCATTTGAATCATTACCTGGTTTTGATTATTATTTTCAACTCTGTAGTAGATATTATCATGTATCTATTCCTTTGGAACGATCTGCGCTTTTGTTTTGCAGTTCATTTAAACTCTGTGATGCCAGTTTTATTATTTGCCAGGTGAAAATTCACATTGCACGTTTCTTAATTAAGTAGTAATAAGCCTCATGGTTTGAACTGTCATTCATGTCCAGGTTTCAACAACCTGATCTCATGGGAAAACATAACTATTTTACAAAATGATGATTTCATATGAATTTTTTCAATGTGAATTATACGAGAAAAGAAAATACAGTTTTAGGGGGGAAAAAGCATAATGGGCCACCCTTACATCCACCCCTGAATGAAACCACCACTGTGTGAACAGATTGTACAAAAAAATTATTATACGAGAAAAGAAAATACAGTTTTAGGGGGAAAAAAGCATAATGGGCCACCCTTACATCCACCCCTAAATGAAACCACCACTGTGTGAACAGATTGTACAAAAAAATAAAAAATAAAAATAAAGAATTATACGAGAAAAGAAAATACAGTTTTAGGGGGGAAAAAGCATAATGGGCCACCCTTACATCCACCCCTGAATGAAACCACCACTGTGTGAACAGATTGTACAAAAAAATTAAAAATAAAAATAAATAAATTTACATATAAATGAGATTATATAAAGTCATACGAATTAGCCACCAATTCGCGAAAATTTAAAATTATTACACATTGCAAGGAAATTGTTTTGGGTTTAAAGCATTCTGTCCCAAACTAAGGCAGACACATAAATTGACATGTTGGGCTGCGCAAACAGAGTAACAGTGTTTGCATTTTTCAGAAATTCTTACTGCCAGTTGTCTCTGCACATAAAAACATTAAACATTAAAAATCAATTATTAGAACCTGATCAAAGGTCGCAGTTAATTATTTCTTTGAGAAAATTGAACCAGATCATCGCATTGATTTAGCATTTCTTACCTTCCAATCATTGTAGAGTGCTGCTGCACAGCGGCCTCCAGGAGGCGCTCTAAAATGGTCCACTCTCCCATGGCTGGGTTCTGAAGACATCAAGGGTTTCACTGGATACTACAATGGACCCTCACCGATCCTTCATGTAGACCTCCAAAGAAACTCTACAGTCTTCGTAGCTTTACCCTTTGAGGTAGTCAGCAGCAACAGAGATGCTTTGGTCCTACAAATAGTTCCGTTGATGGCTCAAGAAGACACGTGCTCGCATGGTTTCGCCTTGTCTGCCTTCAACAAACTCTGTTTATTGGTTTGCCTTCCCTCGTTGGGTCTGAAGTACTCAGACAGCAGTTACATTGAGAGTGCAATATCTGGGAGCTGTGCTTGTCCCTGAATGCCCTGGCATCCTCAAGTGCTTCAACTCTCTGAACTATCTTTTTCCTTTCCTCAAGCAACTCTCAAGCTGCACGATATCTAAACATGCACACACACGAACAAGCTGCACCTAGCCCTTTTGTTCACCAATAAACAGACACTCTCTGACACACACACACACACACACAATCGTCCTCTTCTTGATCTCACATAATCCACCAAGCACGTTTTCCAGGCAGTACTGGTAGCAAAATTAGACCCGTGCACGCAAACACACTCCACGCACTGCCAGTCACACATTACAAGCACATTTAGACAAATCTCTCAATTTCCACACTTTCTCTCTGCTTCCTTACTGTTGCTTCCTAATGATTCTATCGAGCCTTGTTTGTATTTTCCTTTTTCTCCTCCACCAGCTCAGCTTCAGTGTCTTTCCTGCATTTTCCCCCCACTGTCAGTTTTCTCTTCCCCAGCTCACTCGCTCCCTCTGCCCCTGCTGTCACTATGAGCCGCTGTCTTGCCACACTCTCATTTTCTGCTTTCCTCTCCCTCCCTCCACTCTGTTCGCCTGACGTTCTCTCTGTCACTCCTGGTAAGTGTGCCGCCTCCCCCACCTCTATCTCTCTCTCTCTCTCTCACACACACACACACACACACACACACGTGCACAAGTCATTGTTTTGGCACGAGTCGCTCCTTCAAGCAGTGGCGCCAACTGATGGCACTTTCTATTTAACCAGTTCTTCTCTGAATTAACCATGTTCATTCACCTTTCCCTCTACAAGCCTCTTTTTCTGTCTCTCGTGGGCACCTGGCTTATGCGTGTGTCCAGAGGATTAGTGCAAGCAATCATCATGCTACCCCTCCTCTCATCCAAACACCACACATCCAACCAAACTCCTCTTTTCATCGCAAATCCCAATCCCGATTTTGTCTGTCTTTCACAAACGAGGAAACAGAGGTGTTGAACAAATAGCATGACAAATTAATGCGCTTTTTCAAAAATGTTTACACTCACAGAGGTTGAAGACTGATAATCTAAAGACTTAAAGGAGATCAAAAATGGGGGGGGGGTATTATTTACAATAAAACAGATTATTTACACAACAGATCACTTTTACAACAGATAAGCAGGTTGGGGGGGGGTATTATTTACAATAATACAGATTCTTTACACAACAGATCACTTTTACAACAGATAAGCAGGTTTACAACACCTTTACACAACAGAACAGCTTAATATGTACACATCTGAACAATTTTACACCACCTTTACGGAACAGAGCAGGCTTACACAACAGAGCAGCTCTACACCACATTTACTTTACAGAGCACCTTTACACAACAGTTACACAACTTTTACGCAACAGATCAGTTTTCCAAAACAGCAGATTTACAACACCTTTACAAAACAGAACAACTTTACACCACCTTTATGTAACAGAGCAGCTCTACACCGCATTTACTTTACAGAGCACCTTTACACAACAGTTGCACCACCTTTACACAACAGATCAGTTTTACAAAACACAGCAGATTTACACCACCTTTAAACAACATAACTTTACACCACCTTTATGTAACAGAGTAGGTTTACACAACAGAGCAGCTCTACACCACATTTACTTTACAGAGCACCTTTACACAATAGTTGCACCACCTTTTCACAACAGATCAGTTTTACAAAACACAGCATATTTACAACACCTTTAAACAATAGAACAACTTTACACCACCTTTATGTAACAGAGTAGGTTTACACAACAGAGCAGCTCTACACCTCATTTACTTTACAGAGCACCTTTACACAGCAGATACACCATCTCAACAGATCAGTTTTACAAAACAGAGCAGATTTACAACACCTTTACACATCAGAACAGCTTTACAAACCTCCACACAACAGAACAACTTTACACCACCTATATGTAACAGATCAGGTTTACACAACAGAACAGCTCTACACCACATTTACTTTACAGAGCACCTTTACACAACAGATCAGTTTTATAAAACAAAACAGATTTTTAGCATCTTTACACAACATAACTGCTTCGCAAACCTCTACACAACATCACTCTTCACATCACAACAACTTTACACTAGCTTCACATATAACAGAGCAGGCTTACACAACAGAGCAGCTTTACTCCACATTTACTTGATCGACCACCTTTACATAAGAGATTAGTTTTACAAAACAGAGCAGATTTACAACATCTTAACACACCAGAATAGCTTTCATACAGTGGGTGTATAAAATAATCACCCCCCTTTAAAATAATCACTTTTGGGTTTTTTTTGCTTTGCAGCCTGAAATGAAGACGGACAGTTTTTGTTTTATCTAGCTGTATTTACTCAGTGCAATTTATAACATCAAAGTGAAAGATATAATACCAACATGTCAGAAAAAAAAATCACAGAGTTGCTGTTGGCTTCTTATCTTATTGGCTTGTTATCCTGTTGTTTCAGTTCAATCCTTTTGTGACACTGTCCACTTTCCCTATTCCTGTTTTGATGGATCCCACTGATGTTATAAGCTTTTAAGTTCCCTTAGCCATTACCTGTGACAACGGCCCTGATTAGTGAATCTCTTTTTCAGGGTTATGGTAGATGGTGTAGATCTTTGGTCCTTGAATGTGATTTCACGCCATATCGTAATTACCATTATTACGAGATACCAACTTGTAAAAAGCGTTCACGTCCTCATAAGAACTCGTAATTACAACTTCTGAACTGGGTTTTCTGAGAGCTACAACTTGTACCACGACCACCTGCTCTCCCTTGCTCTCAAAAAGATTATTTAAATGACTAGGGCAGTGCGATTAATAGAATTTTAGTTTTGTTTTTGGCTTCCAACGATTATGAAAACATGATGCGGCATTCCGTTCCTTTCCTTTAAAGCGGTGTGCTGTCACCAGTGGCACAAAAACGGGGTATGCAGCATATGCAGTGCATTGGGGCGCCGCACGTAGGGGGCGCCATTTTGCCAAAATCATTCTGTGAAAATCATCACATGACCAAAATGAATAAAGGAGGGAAACACTCTGGGGCACAGAACAGAAAAGACAAAAGGGAAAAAGAACAATGCATTAAAATAAGGACAGCAATATCCAAGTGAACTAACAGAAATTGGTAAGCTCTATAAAAACTCAATAAATTAATTCAACATTTAACATTGTTGCTTAAGATGGCAAAGTGATTAACGTTAATATCAATTCATTTCTGAGTGTCACTCAATAAATAAAACAAAGTCACGCTATGTTTGTGAATGGGCGTTTAATTTACATTTGAGAGGAACTGAGATTATTAACAAGGATACAAACAAGCCAACTTTCACCGAAAATTGCCGTTTTTAATTCAAAATAGGCCATTTGTGTGATTCAAGTTTTTTTTTACTATTTTTTGCTACTTAATACCTCGTATAAAACAATGCTGAACTTTGACAAAGAGGTGATTTTTAAATGTTATAATAGTGATTTTATAATATCTAAATATAAATCCAAAATCAAAGCATGTGAAAAGAGCTATATTACAGAGTGGGTATGGTAAATGAGACAATGAATGATCCTCTGCTGCTATCTAGTGGTTATAGTGTTAATATCATGACATCCATTTAAATATTATTTGTATTTCTACCAGGTGGTAGAAATCTTCCATCTTCCAAATCTTCCATGGCACATTTTCCATGAATTATCTCTAAGTAAAAAAAAAATAAAATAAAAATGCAGATGAAATTACCTAACTAAAAAGCAAGCAATATTTCATGTGTTTGAAGAAAATTAGGCCTACTTCTAAAAAAAATGTGTTCTACTGTCTAGGGTCAGCCATCAGTTTAGTTTAGTTTAGTTTATTAATTTATAAAGCACATTTCAAAACAACAGAAGTTGCAATCAAAGTGCTGTACAGAGGTATTAAAACAAAATTAGAACACAATTAAAACAGAATTAACACACTGGATCAAAACCTTGGAGACAAATGCAAAAATATAAACACCCTCAATTAAAACATAAAGAATACAGATAAGTTTTTTGGGAAGATTTAAAAAAAGAAACAGAAGAGTAAGATCAAATATTGAGAGGGAGACTGTTCCAAAGTCTGGGAGCAGCCACCAAGAAAGCCCGGTCATTGAGTTTTGTAACGTGAGTGAGGAACAGAAAGAAGAAGATGATTGGAAGAACGTAAGGATCTTGAGGCATTGTACGGGACAAGAAGATCACTGATATACTGAGGGGCAAGTGCATGTAAGCTTTATAAACAAAAAGCACAATTTTAAAATCAATCCGGGACTTAACCGGTAACCAGTGGAGAGAGGCAAGCACAGGAGTAATGTGCTGACACTTTTTAGTGCCTGGCTGCTGCGTTTTGAACCATCTGCAAACAATTTACAGGTGAATTAGGCAAACCCAGTTATAAAGAGTTACAATAATGTCAATATCTTATCTATGCACAATCAGCTTGTAACACTCCAAAGAGAAAGGAAAACTTGAAATCGCATCATATGACCCCTTTAAGTATGTCAGAGGTCAAATCTGGTGGGGCAAAGATAACAATTTTGGTTTTGTCATTGTTTAGCTGTAAGAAGTTCATGTCCATCCAACATTTTATGTCACACAGGCAAACAGGCCAGACACAGAACCATTCTTATGGAACCATTCTATTCTCAGGAGTTAAAGGGGATGTTATACAACACACTTTTCTTTTTCTTTTCACTTTTACCTTTTATGGTATTGAAAATGGGGGAGGGGGTTCGTACCTTAGTCACTTTTTTCACCCCTGATGAGTTTGTATCCTTCCATGCCCAAGCTAGTTAATGGGCTTTTGGTCATTAACTTACAGAAAGTTTTCTGTGGAAGTTTGATTTAGGGGCTAGAATACAGGGGGGCGCCAACACTGATCTTGCATACCCCTCAGCAAATGTGCAGTTGCGCCCCTGGCTGTCGCCCTTCCTACGTAACATCCAAGTCACTAAAAAATGTAGCGTTATGTGACTGTCATAATAAAAAGTCTCCTGTCTGACCTGCTCAATGCTAAAAAAAAAAAAAAAAAAAAGAGTTAAAAGTGGATTGAGCTTCGAAAGAGACACTGTTCCCCAGGCGGCTTTCTCTGTGGGATCTGAGGCAGAGTGACACACGGACAAGTATAGGCTACTTTGGGCTTCAGGCGTGTGCTTAAATGGATAAATACACACAAAAATATACCAACATGTTCGTCTTGGCGAGTTTTCACTTGAATGTGGTCGGTTATGTCTTTAGTAAACATACATTTGGGAAAGTAATCAAATGCTTGTCAGTATATTAGATCTGTGCATTCGGTCTTACAGTGAAAGCAGCCTAATAAACCTCCTGCTGTCTCTGTCATTTAAACAACAAAAGAAAACGAGAATTGTTCTCTGCTCTTCTGAATAACTATTAATTTTAATAGCAATCATTGTACTGTTTATATAATTCATATGGTGAAGATGAATTAATGGCAGTGCATAGTGTTTTATTTTTTACATTTGATTATTCAATTATTTGTAATTGTCTTCTTTTTAATTGTATAACTGTTTCATTTACATTTAGTCATTTAGCAAACGCTTTTATCCAAAGCAACTTACAAATGAGGACAATAGAAGCAATCAAAATCAACAAAAGGGCAATAATAGTCAAGTGCTGTGACAAGTCTCGGTTAGCCTAGCGCAGGACACGTAGCAAAGTTTTGTTTTTTATAAAAAAAAGAAAGAAAAACAAGTAGATAGGATAGAGAACAAAAAACAGGGAACGTGTTAGAGGGTCTTTTTATTTTAAATACAAATAAAAAAAGTCAAAAGAATAGAGAGCGAAAGTGTTAGAGGGTGAAGTGTTTTTATTCTTTCTTAGAGGGTCAAATGAAGATGGAAGAGATGTGTTTTTAGCCGTTTCTTGAAGATTGCTAAGGAAATAGGATTACGGTTTCAACTTCTCTGAAAGAACAGGTTAAGTCAAGTCACCTTATATAGCTCTTTATACAATTCAGATTATGTCAAAGCAGCTTTACAGAGTTAAAGAGGACAATAATGTTTCAATGCAAACAAAATTAAATTCTGCTTTAAAGCAGCTCTAAAAAGAGGACAATAGTAAACAGTCGATTTTTCAGTTAAAGTCAGTTCATTGTTGATTCAGTAATGCCATCATCCAGCTCAGTCCAGTTCTCTTTCAATAGTGTCTGGGCAACCATTGCCAAATATTAAGTGTTCTCAAATAAGCAAGCCAGTTTTCATGGTTGGGGGTCATTTTGGGGTTCTTATGAATGCATTGACAGGGGCCCCCTGACAAACTTTTGCTTAGGGCCCTCAGAAGTGTAGGACTGGCACTGCTTAAATTATTTAAGAAGAGATAATAATGACAAAACACCTCTATAAATTCAATTACTGTGTCTGTCATAAACATCCTTCACAGATATAAAAAGCTTAACAGGAACTCGCTGAGGTGAATCTGGCATGTGCAACAGAACGGGATTACTGGAGAGACGCTCCGGCGGACAGCAAGGATCAGAGAGGAGATGATGACCAGGGAAGACGTCTCTTTAGGTAAGATTACATTCCCACCCATGATTGCGAGATAATCAGCTTTGGCTGCACATACCAGGGGAGAAGCAAGGGGGAAAAGCCCTCATTTCCCCGGCAGGGGCCTTAATTAAAGCTTAAGATAATGGGACTGAAACAATCCACCACCTCCTCATACTCAGAGAATGGTGTAGACTTATCACACAAATACATTTTTATTCAGCATTTTAAATTCTGTTACAACAATGTTAAGATTTCAAAAAAAATTAAATTATTTTTTTTAAGTGTACTTTATACCATTTTTATCTCCATGGCAACAACAGGACACCGTCGAGACAAGGGGTTGTTGGAATATAACTTTTTTTTATTGCAACAAATAGCACACCATCATTTGTTGGAGGACTGAAAGGAAACACATAACTGTGCGGTCACTGTATCTCCCTGAAGGCCCTCCTCTCGGAGTACGTCAGCTTGTACTTCCTCTTAAACCTGAAAGAAGAACAGATAAATGAATACAAAAAAAAAAGGAAATTAAACCGAAATCATTGCAGCTAACACCACTTTAACATCTTCATTGATTTTATACAAATAAAGCAGTAAAACACTGAACTTACTTGGCTCTTTCTCTGGCCTCAATAATGTTTCTCTTCTGTAAACTCTTAAATCTGTCTTTTAGGATGCTGCCCTCTGGCTGCATGACAAAGAAACACACATTATTACAAATACCGTAACTGCAACTCAATAAGAGCTCAACACAGGCACAGTTAAACATACCTTTAGACTGCGAAGAGAGCTGGCAAGCTCATAGCTAAGCTGAACATCTAGATCAGGTGCCTGGAACCTACGGAAAATAAAACTCTTTCAATTCCAGTCAAAAAGAACAGAAGGTTACAACTTGATCAACCTTTGTGTTTTTGTAACAACATAGCTTTT